GTATACTCGTCTACATGTATGGTATTTATACCTCTATGACCCAGGGCTGTTCCTAAGTCCAAAAGAGGTGACTACAGGTGTCCACTATATCGCGCATTAAGTGACGCGTGATGTGGAAACGTTCTAGATGCAGCATAAGGCTGCATCTTGTGATAGATAGCGTACTATGCGTAACCCTATTGCCATAAGCACATATACTAAAGTTCTGTCTAACATGTAACATCTATGAGCGGATCTTGAACCTTGTATGAAGGTCTTTGATCCGTTCGGGTTCCGGTTCAACAGAACACAGTGAGTCGAGCGAGACACTAAGTCTTCGCAAGTTTCAGGGATCTCGGAGACAATATTGCCAAGGCAAATATGTTCCGCGGAGAAGGGGAACTACGAATAAGTCTTCGCATTGAGAAGACTTATGAGTAGAAAAAGGTTTCAGACAATATGCTTGATGTCTTGCAAGCCTACAAGTCCTGAAGTTCAAAATCCAGTGATATTTCACAGGAGAACAAGCTTAGGGCTTGTTCTCTCTTACTGACAGGTTTATATAGACGGTATTGTCCTATATCAAATAGTAGACATGAAGTAACAATGAGGCGGTCGAGACTGGAACACGCTGGAAAGTAGTGGTACATGCGAGGTCAAATGAGTCATAGGAACGTGTGGGAATCATGAGGCCTGTCCGGGTAGGCTTGTCCGGTTGCCTGTCTGGCTCGATGGGCTGGTACTTGTGACACATGTTGAATGTGTTGTGCATATTCTGTGTTGCTACTGTCATGAAACATTTCCTGGAGAGAGCCTTTGAAGGACCCTTCCATATTAGAGGAAAAGGGGTCTCTATGGTGGCACCCTGTTCACATGGCCAAAAGGGGTGAGCAGAGGTGTTCACAATATTGTGCACACATTGTTGTGTGATTGATTCTAGGCACAATCAACATACAGCAAGCCCTACTTGCTAGCACTCTAGCATTAAAGGACAACATTAGAGGCCTTCTAAGGACCCTCTAAGATGACCCTAAAGTTCCCCTATTACAGACTGAAGAAGATACTATAGGCCTTAGAACATGTTATTAGACTAACTGTCCACATGTTCACTGTCTTAGTACATGTGCAAAGCACCTGATTCATTTACTGTTAGTTAGTTTAGGGCTGGTCATTTGAGGACTTGTAGTTTGGTTCCGAGAATAGAGTTGCTTATAAGGTCCCTTATATAGTTCCATTAGGGTCCTTAGAGTTGACCCTAATACTTCTATTAAGGTCCTTAGTATTGCTTTATAGTTTGTTCTATGGTTATTAGAGTTAGTCTAATAATGCATTGTAGGGCCTTTAGTATCATGTTAGTGCCTTTTGTAGAGCACTTAGAGTGATCCTAAAGGGTCCTTAGAGAGGCTATAATACTGTCCTTTATTGCTAAAAGGGTTGCCACTAAGTGGGGCTTGCTGTATGTTGATTGTGCCGAGAATCGCTCACACAACAATGTGTGCATGATATTGTGGACACCTCTACTCACCCCTTTTGTCCATGTGAACAGGGTGGCACCATAGAGGCTGGGTTTCCTCTAATAAGGGTCCTTCAAGGGCCCTCTCCGGGAAATGGTTCATGACAGGTGCCATAAGTACTTTCCCAATCAGGGAAACAATGTACACAGCAGTACAGGAACATCTGGGACAGAAGCAATGCTACTCATTGCTTCTTCAGTACATCTTCAGAAAGATATGATCAATGTGTTCCAAACATGATAACAAGGGACATAAATGGTCAAGATCTGATGCACACATGATGCAAATGATGCAGTCCATAGTTCAGGTGTTCCAGCATCTTCCAGACCCCAAACCACTTGGTAACAAAGCATTATTGGACAGTGGAGCAACTGAATGCTTCATACCTCCCTAAACAGCCAAAGAACTTCAGTTAGAAGTAAAAGAATTAATACCACCAAGAAATGTCAGGAATGTTGACAGAACCCTCAACCAAGCAGGAAAGATCACCTCAAAAGTGGAATGTGAACTGAGACTACTAGGCCAAAAGAGTAGACACCAGTTTCTCATAGCCAACATTGGACAAGACACCATGATCTTGGGATACCCATTTTTGGAAGCAACAAATCCAAGGATCAATTGGTCCAAAGGAACTATGACAGGAAGGATAACTCTGACAGCTTGAATGACAACACCAAGCTGGATTTAAGCCACTCCAGAATGGGAAGATGGAGACAAACTATGGCTACAGACTAACTTACAAAAGACAACAGTAGCCCAACAACTTGTGGAATCCACACATGATAAAAAGGAATGAACCTGGTTTGAATTGGTCCCATCTCAATACCACCAATATAAGGAGGTCTTTATGGAAAAAGAATCAGAAAGATTCCCTGGAGAAAGAAAATGGGACCATGCAATTGATCTGAAACCAGACGTACCTACCTCTATCAACTGCCAGGTTTACCCTCTATCCCCCAAAGAGAAAGAAGAACAACAAAAGTTCCTAGAATAAAACTTACAACTCAACAGAATCAGAAGATCCAACTCCCCTTATGCCAGTGGATTCTTCCTCATCAAAAAGAAAGACAGGAAATTTAGACTGGTCCAGGACTACAGGAAACTCAATCAATGGACCATACCTAATGTCTACCCACTACCCCTAATTCCAGAATTAATACACAATCTAGTGGGAAAAGAACTATTCACCAAATGCAATGTCAGATGGGGGTACAACAACATAAGGATTAAAAAGGGAGATGAATGGAAAGCCAACAAGTGACAAACTATTCAAACCTATGGTAATGTTCTTCAGCCTAACAAACTCCCTAGCAACCTTCCAAACAATGATGGATAATATCTTCCAAGAAGAACTTGCCCAAGGATGGTTAAAAATCTACATGGTATCATGAACCATTTCCTGGAGAGGGCCCTTGAAGGACCCTTCCTTATGAGAGGAAACCTGACCTCTATGGTGTCACCCTGTTCACATGGACAAAAGGGGTGAGTAGAGGTGTCCACAATATCACATGTGCATTGTTGCACAAGCAATTCTCAGCACAATTGACATACAGCAAGCCCCACTTAATGGCAACCCTTTTAGCAATAAAGGACAGTATTATAGCCTCCCTAGGGACCCTTTAGGATGACTATAACTGCTCAACAATAGGCACTAACGCAATACTAAAGACCCTACAACATGTTATTAGACTGACTCTAATAACTATAGAACAAACTATATGGCAATACTAAGGACCTTAATAGAAGTATTAGGGTCGACTCTAAGGACCCTAATAGGACTATATAAGGGGCCTTATAGGCAACTATAATCCCTGCACTAAACTACAAGTCCTCCAATGACTGGCCCTAAACTAACTAACAACAAATGAATCAGGTGCTTCGCATGTGTACTAGAACAGTGAACACATGAACAGTAAGGGCTCTTACTCATCAAGAGAAGCCTTCTTACTCAGCAGCTTACTGAGCATGACTGAGCATGCTCAGTAAGCATACTCCGACTTCTTACTCATCACTCTATTGTGCTTGATAACAAGGTTATGTCTTGCTCCCTATTTAGCAGTTCTCTTGTAGTATATAAGCGCTCAATAAAGTAGTGGACAGTCTGAGGACTGTCCACTTGTTTATGGCACTCTCTACCTCTGGGATACTCCTTTAAGGACCATCCCCTTGTGACCATTCTGGCCTCCTCCCTGTGAACCTGTTCAACTCTGCCAGTAACCATACCGCTTTGGTATCTGGTACTGCTTTGGACTTTACTCCTTGTGCACGCCATCTTGGACGTCTATTGACTTGTCTTTGAACTAACCCCTTGCTCTTGAACTGGATAGTTCAACAGTGAGTCTTGACACATGGATGATATCATCATCACCACAGAAGACAATGACAAAGAACATACATCAAAAACTCAATCACACTCTGTCCAAACTCAAACAACATGACCTGTATCTGTCACAACTCACTGTTGAACCATCCAGTTCAAGAGCAAGGGATAAGTTCAAAGACAAGTTGATAGATGCCCAAGACAGCATGGGCAAGGAGTAAGGTCCAGAGCATACCAAGTACCAAAGAGGTATGGTACTGGAAGTGTTGAGCAATTACGTAGGGAAGAGGCCAGAATGATCACAAGGGGACGGTCCTTAAAGGAGTATCCCAGGGGTAGAGAGTGCCATAAACAAATGGACAGTCTGGAGACTGTCCACTACTTTATTGAGCGCTTATATACTACAAGAGAACTGCCTAATAGGGAACAAATCATAACCTTGTTATCAAGCACAATTGACGGATGAGTAAGAGGTTGGAGTATGCTTACTGAGCATGCTCAGTCATGCTCAGTAAGCTGCTGAGTAAGAAGGCCTCTATTGATGAGTAAGAGCCTTTATTGTCCATGTGTTCACTGCATTGGTACATGTGCAAAGCACCTGATTCATTTACTGTTAGTTAGTTTAGGGCCAGTCATTTGAGGACTTGTAGTTTGGTTCCGAGAATAGAGTTGCTTATAAGGTCCCTTATATAGTTCTATTAGGGTCCTTAGAGTTGACCCTAATACTTCTATTAAGGTCCTTAGTATTGCTTTATAGTTTGTTCTATGGTTATTAGAGTTAGTCTAATAATGCATTGTAGGGTCTTCAGTATCATGTTAGTGCCTTTTGTAGAGCACTTAGAGTCCTCCTAAAGGGTCCTTAGAGAGGCTATAATACTGTCCTTTATTGCTAAAAGGGTTGCCACTAAATGGGGCTTGCTGTATGTTGATTGTGCTGAGAATTGCTCACACAACAATGCATGCGCAGTATTGTGAACACCTCTACTCACCCCTTTTGTCCATGCAAACAGGGTGGCACCATAGAGGCTGAATTTCCTCTACTAAGGAAGGGTCCTTCAAGGACCCTCTCTGGGAAATGGTTCATGACAGTATCTTAAACCAGAAAAATGCCAGTTCCACAAGAAAAAGGTTGAATACTGTTGGATATACAATCTGTCATATAGATTAATCCACCTTACTGTACCCAAGGCTAGGTAGCTCAGTGGTTAGAGCACCTGGTATATATCCAGGAGGTCCTGGGTTCAATCCCCAGTCTGGCCATTTTCTTAATTGCACCAGAATATAGGGAATCATGTGAGCACATATCAACCCCCTCCTCTGAGGTCCCCAGGTTGGGTCACATAGTGTTGAACCCACAAGTTGGACCCAAGAGGGTGGCAATGACTAAGCACCTCCTCTGAGGTCCCTCTATCTGTGGTTGCATTTCACAACAAATACCTTGGAGTGATCATTGGCAAAGGAAAGATAACTATGGATGCAATCAAAGTAAAAGGAATTGCTGAATGGCCAACTCCAACAACACTGAAAGAAGTACAAAGCTTCTTAGGATTCTGCAACTTTTATCACAACTTCATCCCAAATTTCTCTCTGAAAGCCAGACCATTAAATGATCTAACAAACAAAAATAGACAATGGGAATGGACAGCAAAAGAAAATCAAGCATTCCTCACACTAAAAAATACTTGTACCTCCTATCCAGTGCTCCATACACCAGACTGGACTAGGCAGTTTATGCTTGACACTGACGCTTCTGGATTTGCACTAGGATCAGTAATATCACAAGAATATGAAGATGGACTTCACCCTATCACCTTCTACTCACACTGGTTGGGAAATCAACTTATGTGAATGACAAAACTGTAACATTTTGAAAAACAAAAATTATTATTTTCATACAAATTTGTAGCAAACAATTTGTGAAAATTAATTGAATTTAATATTTTGTTACAATAAATTCCTGTTACAAAATGATGAAATAAGTAAATAGTATTGACAAGATTTTAGAACATACATTATATTAAAAAATTTTAACTTATTTTAAGATTTTGGGTGAAACAATATTGTGAAAAAATCAAAACTGCAGGATTGGGTTTATGACACTGGTTGGGAAATCAACTTATTTGAATGACAAAACTGTAACATTTTGAAAAACAAAATTTATTATTTTCATACAAATATGTAGCAAACAATTTGTGAAAATTAATTTTATATTTTGTTACAATAAATTTCTGTTACAAAATGATGAAATAAGTAAATAGTATTGACAAGATTTTAGGACATGCATTATATTAAAAAAAAATAACTTATTTTAAAATTTTGGGTGAAACAAAATTGTGAAAAAATCAAAACTGCAAATTTGGGTTTATGAAAAAGGTGGAATAAAAATTGTAAAATTTTTGAAATTTTTGAAATTTTTGAAAAAGTTTTGTGACTTGAATAAAGATGTTAGGGAGATAAAGTTTTGTTATAATCATTGATGAGAACAAAATCTAGCACTATTTGAAAACATAATGTTATCATTTTTAATGAAGAAAATTTTTGAATACATTCACAATTTTGTTAAAGAAAAAATTTTCACAAAACAGAATATGAAATCCTAAAGTTGTTTCATCATTTTGTCATTGGAATAAAGATGTCAGGGAGATAAAGTTTTGTTATAATCATTCATGACAACAAAATCTAGCATTTTAGAAAACATAATGTTAACATTTTTTATGCAGAAATTTTTTGAATACATTCACAATTTTGTCAAAGGAAAATTTGTGACAAAACTGAATATGAAATCCTAAAGATATTTCATCATTTTGTTTATTATATTATGGTCAATTCTGAATGATGCTGGACATCTATACACCACAAAAAGAGGCCATAAAGTTGTGTCACTTGTGCTGTCATGGCTTGGCTCAGTCTGGTTCAGCTCAGCAATGGCTTGGCCAGAGTGGGTGAGCTGGTCTAAGCCAAGTCATGACTTGTGGCTTGAGCTGGTTCAAGTTGTCCCATTTTGGCCATTTCTACATTTGGATCTACTTTTGATTTTGAGAATGCTCTTGTAGGCCATCAATGTGATGTTATTACCAATGAATGCTATGGTCATTCTCAGTGATGCCATGCAATGTCAAGATAATGCAATGTAGTTCAGCATGATCATGGACATTGCCAGGACAGTGGTGAACACTGGTTACACAATACCAGGTGATGCAATGCAATGTCAGGATAATGACATGTGATTCAGTGTGATCCTAGACATTGCCAGGACATTGGTGAACACTGTGAACACAATGCCAAGTAATGCCATGCTCATTCTGAGTGATGCAAAACAATGCAAACATAATGCAATTTGGTTCAGAGTAATCCTAGACAATTCTAGCACAATGCCAAGTAATGCCTTGGTTGTTCTGAGTGATGCCACAAAATGTCAAGATAATGCCATATCATTCAGCATGATGGTAGAAATTGCCAGGACAGTGGTGAACACTGCTCACATAATGCAAAATGATGCCATGGTCATTCTGAGTGATTCCAAGCAATGACAAGATAATGCCATTGTCAAGACTCACTGTTGAACAATCCAGTTCAAGAGTGAGGGATAAATTCAAAGACGAGTCAATAGACATCCAAGACGGTGTGGGCAAGAAGTAGAGTCCAAAGCAGTACCAAGTACCAAGAGGTACGGTTACTGGTAGAGTCGAACAGGTACACAGGGAAGAGGCCAGAATGGTCACAAGGGGACAGTCCTTAAAGGAGCATCCCAGGGATAGAGAGTGCCATAAACAAATGGACAGTCCTCAGACTGTCCACTACTTTATTGAGCACTTATATACTACAAGAGAACTGCTAAATAGGGAACAAGTCATAACCTTGTTATCAAGCACAATTGATGGATGAGGAAGAAGTTGGGATACACTTACTGAGCATGCTCAGTCATGCTCAGTAAGCTGCTGAGTAAGAAGGCCCCTATTGATGAGTAAGAGCCTTTACTGTCCACATGTTCACTGCCTTAGTACACATGCAAAGCACCTGATTCATTTACTGTAAGTTAGTTTAGGGCTGGTCATTTGAGGACTTGTACTTTGGTCCAGAGAATAGAGTTGCTTATAAGGTCCCTTATATAGTTCTATTAGGGCCCTTAGAGAGGCTATAATATAGTCCTTTATTGCTAAAAGGGTTGCCATTAAGTGGGGCTTGCTGTATGTCAATTGTGCCAAGAATTGCTTGTGCAACAATGCATGCACAATATTGTGGACACCTCTACTCACCCCTTTTGCCTGTGTGAATAGGGTGACACCATAGAGGCTGGGTTTCCTCTATTAAGGAAGGGTCCTTCAAGGGCCCTCTCTGGGAACTGGTTCATGACAGCCATGTGGTTCAGAGTGATCCTAGACATTGCCAGGACAGTGGTGGACACTGCTGAGACACTGCCACATGATGCCACACAATTTGAAGACAATGCCATGTGGTTCAGAGTGATCCTAGACATTGCCAGGACATTGGTGGACAACTCTAGCACAATGCCAAGTAATGCCATGGTCATTCTGAGTGATGCCACACAATGTCAAGATAATGCCATTCAGTACAGAAAGCCAGCTGGAACCGGCAAGTCACAGACAGAGACTTAGACAGTCAGAAAGAAGAAATAAAAGAAAAAGAAAAAGAAAAATGCAAGCACAAGATCAACACCCACAGGAAATGCAATGCACTGTGCAAGTAAAGGGGCAGGCCTGTGATGAACCTGTTGAACATGTTGAAGACACACAAAGGGCAGGCTGTTAACTGCATCATAGAACCTGAAAATGAAGATAAAAAAAGGACCTGTTCAATGTGCAGGAAAACTCACAGTCAGTGCTTGTGCCATTCCATAGTTGCAGTCATGGTCATGGCCATGGTTGTGGTTGCTGTTGCCCTCATGACTGAGCCAACCATGCACAGGTCATACATAGGCCTGGTGGAAGGCCACAATTCCCCAGCCATGGCCTTGTTCCTCTTATGGTTGGTGAGAGCCATGTCAAGATGGGAGGACAGTTGGAGAATGGGAGTGGGGAGACAGGGGAAGGGAAAAAAAACTTGGGGCAGCAATGCCACCCAATGCTTGCCATGTGAAAAAAAAACATGCTTACAGGTCAATGCATGAAATTTGTGCACACAAGAAAATACACATCTTGATGGCTGCAGCTTCACCATGGGCCATGCTGTTGCTGTGAGGAGATGTTAGAAAGAGCAAGTAAAAAGAAAAGAAAAAAAAAAGCACACCAGGTTCATGGTTGCATGGGATTCTTCGGTTGTGTTCATGGTCATTCTTATGGCGTCACAGCTGTTGGAGCATTAGCTCAGGGTTCAGTGGGGCCAAGTCCCTGTGACTTGGTTCAGAGGTTCAGTGGAGACCAGCTCTAAGGGGCTGGTTCAAAGGTTTAGCATCTCAAGATTAAGTCCAGGATGACCTAATCCATAGACAGAGTTGATCTTCTGGTAATTTCACAGAAGAGGAGGACGAGGATAGAGCAAGAGAGGAGTAAGAGGAACACAAGGGTTCCTCCTAGTGTGTTGATGTCAAGCAAGGTATAAGCCAGCACAACAGAGTTGTGATTGAGAGAGTACAGAGCAAGAGGATGTGACAGGAAATGGGACAAAGCTAAGCTTGGGCATTTCCCAGCTTTTTACCAGTGCTTAAATCCTGTATCTAGCAAGGCTGTACAGTGTCAAGACTCACTGTTGAACTATCCAGTTCAAGAGCAAGGGGTAAGCTTGAAGATGAGTCGATAGACGTCCAAGACAGCGTGGGCAAGAAGTAGAGTCCAAAGCAGTAACAAATACCAAAGAGGTATAGTTACTGGTAGAGTTGAGCAGGTACACAGGGAAGAGGCCAGAATGGTCACAAGGGGATGGTCCTTAAAGGAGTATCCCAGGGATAGAGAGTGCTGTAAACAAATGGACAGTCTGAGGACTGTCTGCTACGTTATTGAGTGCTTATATACTACAAGAGAACTGCTAAATAGGGAACAAGTCATAACCTTGTTATCAAGCACCATAGAGTGATGAGTAAGAAGTCAGAGTGCGCTTACTGAGCATGCTCAGTCATGCTCAGTAAGCTGCTGAGTAAGAAGGCTTCTCTTGATGAGTAAGAGCCTTCACTGTCCATGTGTTCACTGCTTTAGTACACGTGCAAGCACCTGATTCATTTTCTGTTAGTTAGTTAAGGGCCGGTCATTTGAGGACTTGTAGTTTAGGGAATAGTGTTGTCTTATAAGGCCCCTTATATAGTTTTATTAGGGTCCTTAGAGTCGACCCTAATACTTCTATTAAGGTCCTTAGTATTGCCTTATAGTTCATTCTATAGTTATTAGAGTTAGTCTAATAACATGTTGTAGGGTCTTTGATACTGTGTTAGTGCCTATTGTAGAGCACCTAGAGTCGTCCTAAAGGGTCCTTAGGAAGGCCCTAATACTGTCCTTTATTGCTAAAAGGGTTGCCATTAAGTGGGGCTTGCTGTATGTCAATTGTGCCGAGAATCACTCGTGCAACAATGTGCGTGCGATATTGTGGACACCTCTACTCACCCCTTTTGCTCGTGTGAACAGGGTGACACCATAGAGGCTGGGTTTCCTCTCATAAGGAAGGGTCCTTCAAGGGCCCTCTCCAGAGAATGGTTCATGACATACAGTACTATATGTAGAACAATAGATAGTGATGAGCCAATAGCAAAAGGAGCTTGAACAACAGATGAAACACAATAGATGACACAACAATATCAGCATCAAGGGATGAAACAGTAACTGAGGGAATGAGGGTGGTGTAGAAAGAGTAGTGATGAAAATAAGGGGGAGATCACAACAGTCATCACATTGTGATTGCTGCCATGACAGTGATGTCATTGTCATCATCACTGCTGCTTGAGAGGAAAACAAAAGTAAAAAGAGAAAGCAGAGGGGAGAAACAAAGGGAAACACATACATGTTGCACATGGCAGAAAGCAGGGTGGGAGAGGAGGGGGCAGAGTCATCGCTGCATCCATGCCATGTGCATCACTGTGAGGAGAGGTCAGGAAGAGCAATCAGAGAAAAAAGGAAGACATACCAGGTGAAGGGAAGTGGATGCACAAGGGAATGAGTGCCAAGATGCGGCATGACATTCTACCAAGGTGCTTGTCTTGTTGCGCTCATGAGTGGGGCTGCACCATGCATTGCTGGAGTGGTGGTTGAGCTGGATGGGGTCAGTGTTAGTGGGATAAGGGGATAGGCATGTCCATTGATCCGGTCAGCACAAACACCCTTTGTCAGCATCTCAATGGCTGCATCATCACCACAGTCCTGGTCATGCTGTTGCTGAGAACAGGTTCGAACAAAAAAAAAAGAGAAAAAGAAAAGAAAAAGCACACAGGGTTCATAATTGTGTGGAATTGCTTCCATGGCTATTGGGTGCTCTTATGGTCTTGGCTTGGGGTTGCTAGCAGGGCAAAGGGTATTGAGATGCATGGGATGTCAAGAAATTGAGAGAGAAAGAGAATAGAAATTTTCAAAAAAAATGCATGCACACATGGGAAAAGGCACATTTGAGGGAATTGACCTGGGGCCTGGGAAGTAGTGCTGAGCTGAGGAGGCAGAGTGAAAAACAAAAGAAAGGGCAAGAACACACAAAATGTGTGTCACTCTCTTGATCACTGTGTCATCGCCATAATGCTGGCCATGCTGTCAATGTTGGAAAGGGGGGCAGAATGAGATGAAAAAAACAAAAACAAAAAAAATGAACATGAACCACACACTGGATTTGCAATTGGCATTTGTGGCCACTGGGTGTTCTTGTGGTCTTGGCCTGAGTTGCATGCATGCCAGAGGAGGTGGCAAAGCAGAGGGCATTGAGGTGCAAAGCAATGCAAGAGGATGGGAGAGCAAGCAAGAGATAGCTTCACCTGCCATTGTCATGGCCATAGGCACATCACCATCACAGTGGCCAGATTGTCACAGTGGCCATGGGCCATGCTCACAATTTGTGGCTGTTGTGAGGTCACCATGGCCATACCCAAGTTGTCATCATTGGAGCCAGTGGAGGGGAATGGGAGCCAGTGGGTGGAGTGCTTTGCCAGGGCAAATGTGCCATTGTCACAGCCATGAGCACACCACTGTCATGGCAGCCAGATTGTCACAGTGGCCATGGGCCATGCTCATGATTCATGGCTGTTGCAAGGGCACTATGGCCATGCCTGAGTCATCATCATCATCACCAATGCAGTGACACAGGAGATGGGAGTGGGGAAGCAGCTTGAGAGCCAGGAAGAAACTGTTTGGTAGGAAGGAGAGGGAGAGGATGAGAGAGAGTGCATGAAAAGGAAACAAAAAATGCACCTGCAGAAATCTCCAATGAGGCCAGTGAAATTCTGAGGAAACCAGGGGCTTGAGAGTCTTGAACTGGGACCATGGGGAAGGAAGAGTGGGAAGGATAGGAGGGGAAAGAGGGGAGGAGGAAGAACAATGGCAGAAAGAAACACAAACATGGCAAAAGAAAAAATGAATGCATGTCATAAAATGAGGACACCACAGGTGAAAAAGGTTTCTCATTGCTTAGTAAATATTGGTAAGCAATGGGACCCTGACTCTCCATTCTCATTTTAATTAGTTGATTGCTGTCTTTGATAGAATGATTGTAAGAGTTCTGTTATTGGTTGAGATTTAGTGTATTGATATCTCAAGGGCAAACAGTGAAGCATGTTGGGCTGGACCTAAGAAGGCCTGTGTTCACACATGGGCAATTCTATGAGAGGGTGTCAAGGGTGACTTCTGTCTCCAACATAAAGTTGATTTGGGAGGAAGAGAAGAGAGAGGCCTGGACCAAACATTTTTGAAGCTGCAACAAAGAATGGATCTCCTCTCTGTTTATGAAGCAAAAAAAGATTATACATAGTGATGAGTTGATTACTTTCTGTTTAAGCAAAAAAGGGATTATGGAAAGAGGCTTTAAACAAAAAAGGATTACACATGAGCAATTAAACCCAAGTGATGGCAGGGGTTTGGGGGTGCAGCCCCTGACAAGTTTTAATTTCATGCCATATGCATGAAATTTACAACCTGTTGCATTATGATGGAATAAAATTCAATCATAATCACCCTCCCTCCCAATCTTCTGACATAATTCTTCCAACAGTGATAGAAACCAACAATATTTTTCCCAAATGTGACAAATGATCTTGACTCTCTTCCTGTGGCCTGCTATAGGATCATGCTCTTTTTACCCAGGAACAGACAGGTGTGACATTTGGGGAAGTAGAAAAAAACATCTGGGCCCAACAGGGGTTCGAACCCTGGACCGCTCGCAAATGAGGTATGAACCCAAAGCGAGCATCGTACCACTAGACCATTGGGCCATAAATGATGGCAACCGTAGCGATAATGTGATCTATCCCCTACCAGAAAGGTATGGTGATCGGCTGGTTAACCGGTTAACGCCCACTTGCTCTCATCGACCCATGAGTATGAGGTCGTGAACGTCGAAATGGACAAGTTTAAAGCCCTTGAACCGGTCAAACTTCACCAGGGTTCAAAGGGCGCGCAAAGTGTTGCATCCAGACATGCCTCGGCACCCCATATTGGAAAACTCCCGTCCTCGCTTCACTTGGTTGTTCTGCAGTCCATCCCAGTACCGGACGTCCCGGCCTATGCACGTACAAATCGTGCCCTCGCTCACCTCGTTGCTTCCGAAGAGCTTTGGGAGCACCACTATTCTCTATTAGGCATCGACCGATACGGGTTTGGACCCGTCCTGGATGAGCTGGAGAGTCGCGCGCGTAAGGAGGTTCCGCAGCAGCCTCCTACACTTACCGTGGACGTTGCAGACGATGACTTTGGGGATTTCGCATCCGGATCGGACACTTACAGTTTGGGTTTTGGAGGGTTCTCAACACAGAGCGTATTCTCTACCTCCCAAGCCGAAGTGGGGGACTTCATTGGGGCCCGTACGGTGACACAGGGCAACAGTATCCTCGGCGCAGGCTCGTTCCGCGCTCTTTACATACGTGCGCATAGACTTCTGAGAAACCTTGCCCCAGCGTTACTGGAACCTCCACACCAGATTCTCTCCTCCCTTTTCCCGCCCACGACCGCATCGGCCCCTTCCTTCACATTGTTACACCGCTCCAAGACGCTCCATCTCCTTCACCGATTCCATTCCCTCCTTCAACCCCTCCGATCATCACCATCACTACTGTCCGCCCTCCGTGCTGCCTCTGATCGATTCGACGCTACCTTGCTCAGTGCCTTCGACGTTGCGGACAGTAGGGCCAATGAGGTTGGCATGCGCGACGCAGCTGAAGCGAGTTGGGAAATATGGGACCCGCACGAAATCGGAAGCGGGGCAATCGCGGAATGGGAAATGGGTCGCGTGTGGGCTGAGAAACGGGAAATTTTCTATGTCACGACAGGGCACAAACCCCTTGACAATTTCACGTATGTCCTGCACACGCCTTCCACGTTGCGTGGAGCTACAGAATAACGATAAACAGTGCGGACGGCGCTTTGAATTTCGAACCAATGGACGCCTTTATGGCCATTGTGCTACATGCGCTTAGAGAGCATGGCTCCCGCGCGGTACGCGTCTTCCCTCCCGCGGCAGGCGTTCTTGTGTCATTTGCAGATCGCATTGCGATGGAAGTTGTACGTAGACGGACTTTGTGTCTACGCCACACACTCAGCCAGTATTCATGTAGGTTTCTGAATATGTCACACCCCTTCTCACGCATGCCCGCTCTCTGGCGAACAGCGCCCTGTTCTTGAGGGCAACTGCTGCCTGTTTTCGGGAAACCTGGCGTGTCGTGGACACCATTCTCGAAATTGCCAGCCAGCGGCACCCGCCTAGCGCGGAGGCAGAAGTCAGCAGGGCACAGGCGGAGGACGTAGTGTGCGTTTGTTTTTTTCACGCCGCTTCATTCCGAGCACACCCTGTGCCTCCTGTCCACTCCCGATGCATGTCACGATCGATCCGATGCTCATATCCTGAAAATTTTCCCACATGACAGGTATCGAATGTTTGAACCTAACATGGACGAGTACCTTGATGAAGAGGTAAATTTCCTGAAGCAAACTTTCGAGCTCACCTGCCGAGATTGGGAGAAAAAGGTATTGTCTATTCCGACAAACCTTCATTCCCAGTCTCCTGAGCTCATCTTAGACGCTCGATGCACGCAGACGAGTCTTCATACCGATGCGCCGCCGCCGACTTCCCATCAGCCTACATTCCTCGCTTCTTCCTCGCATGCCAATCTCAAGAGCAATGTTCTTTCGACTTTCACTAACCTCCTGCTTATTCCGGTTTCTACTGTCCCCCGCACTGTTGAGACCGTCTCGGGTGCTGCCGTCCACGGCATCTCGATGCTCGATCCGCGGCGGTGGGGCGGAGCCGGGCAGGTTAACGGGATCGGTGAGAGAGAAGGGTACACCAGGGGAACGGACACGACCAATGTCGTACTCTGGGAGGACGAAGATCACCCTGACGCCTCTAGCGAACAAGGGGACGACACAGCGACACCCGTGACTGCGTCTGCTTCACAACCTTCGCCACTGGTTTCCTACGACAATCTCCAACTTCTTCTGTCCCTTGATGTTACCCTCGAACTGATTCACTCCGCGCGCGAGACACTCAAGCGCTTGGAGATTTTTGTCAATTATCCTAGAACTTATGGCGTCCGGGTTAGAGAAACCATCGAAGAGGTGGCGGGAGAGCTCCTGGGCGTGCTAGGCGAACGACATGTGCGGAATGGATTCGAGGCGTGCGTCTCCATGTTGTCAGTGTGAAAATGCTGACCTCACCCTGTCCTGCGATATCAGGGCAATAACACAAATGCGGGCATATCAGCCCCCTGCGATGTCTGATTCCGTTCCGGACATGGAGGGAACAGGTCCTGGAATCAACATCGGTTGCGCCACTGGTGCAATTTTTTGAGCTTGTTCCATATTGGAGACATGATCCAGAGCATTGTGCAAGTTTACTTTGATAAAGAGCTGGTACGTTCTGCGGCCCTCCGTTCTCCGCGTCGGCATCGTAACCCCCCTGGTTTTGCCGTGATATAGGCACCCCACGTTGATGTGACAGATTTTTTGAATCCGGTCGTCAGAGAAAAGAAGCGTTTCGAGAACCTGCTCGACGATTGGGTTGCGAAGGGACTCAATGCTGGCATTGAGGTTCTCATGAATCAGGTGAGCGTTTCTGGGCCCTGCTTTTGAAATAGCCGGCTGGATACCGCTGCAGGTGGATCACATCATCACGGCTCTTACTCCACCGCGGACGTACTACCCGCCTGAAGAAGCTCCCCTCCTTCTCGGACCTTCCAAGGGTTGCACGGAAGCAATAAAATGTCTCGAGGAGCACATACGGCTTCTCCAGGGAAATGTCAACCGAGAAGTACTGGAAGTGTTTGAGGGCGAAGTTGGCGTGAGGCTGATTGGGTAACAAGCCACAAACTCGTTCTTTTGATTGCGGCTGACGCTTCATTTTTTTTTAAATGATTTTCTGAATGCAGGATTTTGCAAAAGCAGATCAAACGCCAGATAATTTCGCTGAACGGAGGCTTTCAGGTCATTGCCGATCTGAACGCTTACCACACCTTCATCTCCTCGCTCAAGGTTCGTTTGATGTTCGTCTACCACGTTTCCTCCTCTGACACGTGCGCGGGCAGATCCAGTCCCTGACATCCGACTTTGCTAACCTCAAAATGCTCGGCCATGTGTTTATCGTCGAGGACGCCAAGGACCTCGCGCAAATCGTGCGTGACGTAACGCGTTATGGAGGGGCATACCGGCCCGAGGTGAGCCGAGCACGTTCGTCGCAACGATGATAGACTACGACCGACTTACGATGGCCGCCCATCTTTGATTGGCAGGACATTTACGAGTTCATACAACGGCGAAGCGACTGGAAAAAAATTGAAAAAGTCGTTGATAAGACAATGTACAACCTGAACCTTAGAGAGGACTGTATCGTCGCCTGACCTTCCCACGAATGATATCTGCCCTCACCCTGATCACGGGAGACGTCGTCGCCCCCCCCCCCCAAATCCCCTGATGGTCGACTGAATTGCAGATCTGGCGAGGACTCAGGGGCGCTTTTCGCACGGGAATAAGTGGACTATTAAATACCTGTCAGCTGCCTCGGCGTCATTTCTCGGCGCCTAGTCGGCCTGTATTAATCGCTTCTTTTTGAGTCATTGGATCCCAAGGTGGTGTCCCCAGCCCTAAGGTGCTGGTTACAGAAGCAGCATCTGGAAGGTGAAATCACGCCATCGTGCGGACAGCTTGCGTGGAAGCTCTACCGTGATGGACTCGTAGGGTTGCCTTGTTTTCTCACTTTACGGGAACTTGCGATCATCAGACCACCGTGACGAGACGGCTGGCCAGCTGTTGATTGACAAGCGAAAAAGCAATCTCGGTCCCAAATGCCTTGACAAGACGGCGTGCGACTTGCCCACGAAGATGGACGTAGCACAGGACGGAAGCCCGAGTTAGGAAGGCTCCGATCCCCGCCACCATATCTTGTGTGCGGCCGAGTGCCCTGGAGGACCCCGTGTGAGCCTCACTGATGCGGATGCGATGTGCAGCAGACCCAATCCAGGCTCCTTCCCATGCTACGCTGGGGTGTGTGAAGGTTAAAAGGTTTCAAGGGCACACCTCCCGGATTGGGAACCACAGAATACGTAAGTCCCTCATTGAAAGAAGCAGGTGGACATACGGATTATGTATTCATCCCGCCCCCAATCCAGGAAGTTGTGCGGGTGCATTTGAAAATCTCTTAATCTTCCAAAGGGCCGAGGGGGAGCCCTGGCCTGAGGTGTCTCCACCTCCCTCCTCAATCCCATATCGATTTACCTCGTTGGTGACCAAGTCGATGGTTTCTGATGCTCCACAAGGTATACACGCCCACTCGAAATGATCTGTGGCGGACAAAATCGACAATTGGTTCGGCGACCAGAACAGGGCAAGGACATGCACCCACCGCCTACCCTACCTCTCGCTCGTGGTGGTGATTGGCATGGTTTACACGATGTTCAAGCACGCATCGCAGGTATTCCGAGTCCGCCGGGATGAGCGGCTCCATTGACGGTTTAATCAGCGTCAGTTTTATTGGGTCCTCGAGCCTACAGCTGTAGTGGTAATCTTCATAACTTATGTCAACATGGGGGCCTCACTGGACGTTTTCTTCCCCGCAAGAAGGGTGGGGCCGATGAGGATCGGCGCATGTGAAGTGGCGTGTCCGGTGATGCCGCGAGAATGACCTCGCCTGAAACATACACATTGCGGCATCCGAAACTGGGGAAAAATTTCCTGATTCTGATCCCACTGTGGCTGTGCGTAATCGCGACGAGTTTTTTCTTCTTCT